CCCGCGCCCAGGGCAGGCAGAGCTCCCGGGGCTCCCTGCCCACCCGCGCCGCGGGGCTGCCAGGGACTGAGCGGCTCGGCGGGTCTCTAGACCCCTCACACACTTGGACAGTCCCTGATGGGGGTGTTTGCTCACCTCCGCCCTGCGGGCGGCTCGGAGCTTGCGTGCCACATCATCAGCACGAGGAGCGTGCAGTACAATGTGTGTAAAGCCCCAAAGAAAGGAGGCTGCACCTTAGGGTCCCGCGGGCGGGCTCGGCAGCAGCTGGGGCTCATCACCGCTCTCTGGAGAGTGCATCCTGCAGGCAGCATGGGGCGGGGAGCCGGTCCCAGGCTCTAACCGGAGACACCTGTGAGCACCATGTTCCACAACGCAGCTCGGGTGCTGAACACGTCCCTCCCACTGATCACGTTTGTAGCTGTGCTTGTTCAGCACTGAGAAGGTGATAGTGGAAAGTGTTAAATATAGCGTACAACACAAGACAAACTCCAGTAGTATCCATCTATTTATTAAAAACTACTGGTTTGCAAGAACCACCAGCAAAGAGGTGTGAAATCAAGCCTATCAATAGAGTGATCAGGGTCTGAATAAAACCCTCTCTTCCTGTGACACAGTGGCTTTCTGACATGTGCAATAGTCATTGCAGAGACACTGTTCCTTGCTGTGTTTCACATCTGTCCATCTGCATAGTCCATGTTTTGCTGTTTTCTGGCTCTTGAGGCTCAACTTTGTAGCTAACATTTTTTAATTCATTTTTTAATGCAAAACTGATCCCCATTTCTCAAAGACTGTACATCCATTAATTTTATTAACTTAGCTGAACCTCCTTACCTTAAACTAGTTTGTGGAGGATTTTCCTTAATTTTCAAAGCATTGTGGAAAAAGCAAAACCTGGCAGCAGGAACACCAGAGGCAGTGCAGTCTTCATGTAAGGAGGGCACTTTTGACAAGACCACACAGAAGATCTCTGCAGGTGAGAACACCCACCTGGCAGCTTCTCTGTGGAGCAGAAAAGGAAGCTGGAAGTGAGCTAAGCAGAGAGGAATCCAGACTAGGCTTGGTGATGGCCTGTGAAAGGTTTTGAGCTTAGTGAAAACGATATAGTTTTGATATCTGGACAAATACTAGCAATGTAATTACTTTACTCAGGGGTTTTATTGTTATTATTTGTTTGTACACAGGTTTTGACCTCTTTCAAATACATTTAAGAGGTTTCTGGTTACAGTGAGCTTATCCAGAAAGCAGCAGCTGCAATTTTAACTTGAAGGACATTTTTTAGAGTTACATCTGCTTCATTGCGCAAGACTTTGGTAAGAGGAAGTCTAGAACAGGACTTGTAAACAGTGAATTACTCAGAGCAGCTGCAGCAATTGCAGGCTGTACTTTATTCTGAGTGTGATGTTGCCCTGGAAGTGGGGATGGAGCTGTCACTTCCAAGTTCCCTTCCCAACCAGTGAGGAAAATCGGGCAGCAGCCTGCTCAGAAAGGTTGAGTTTGTAGGTAAGGACGGTAGGGAAATATTATTTTTGTGTTCTGTCCCAGGAATTCAGCTGCATCTCATTAAGAGACCTCAGACTGACCTATTTTTATACCTGTCATTCAGAAAGATGCTGAAGGGAGAAGAGGATTTTTTAGGCACTGTTCATTAACCTTACCCTGGACTGCTGCAATCTGCCCTAAGACAGCTCTGTAGCTACTGTAGCATTCAAACCAGGTGCTAAAAGAAACTCCTTCTCCTCAGAACTGTGTTTGTGAACTGGCAGCAATGTGGCTCAGAGCAGCTACTGGTCAAAAAATCCAATTTAAGCTGATAAAGAGGTATGTTGAATGTACAGTGCTTGGGAAGAAGGAGAAGCTGTCATCTACAGGAAATTAGAGCCCTGTAACTTAGACTTTCTGGATTAAAAAAGAGCAGGTAACACCTTAACTCAAGGAGAATATTTAGATTCCTCAGTGCTGCAGAGGATGGATGTTCCAAATACAACAATACCTGAAAATGCCAGACATTAAAAGGCAAGCTCCTGGGGAGGGAGAAATGGAACAAAAGTAGGGAAAAAAAACCCAGTCAATTTGGGACCATTACTGTAAGTGAGGAAGGGGTAAATACTCAGAGAGATAATCCCAGTGAGCTGGGATGGAGCTAAGGTCTGGTCAGGCCAGATGCAGAAGACTTTGAGGACTCTATTTTGTCTGTAGCATAAGCTGCTCAGAGAAGTGGAAAGCTCTTTCCTTGTTCCTGAGAGGATTCAGAGAAAGAAATCATGGCCTTTCAATTGGTATTACTGTAAAGAAAAAAACACCTTCATGTGGCTGGTCATGGTGTCTCATGGGATTCAGAGGTGGCTGGCTGGAACAGGGATGTCCTCCTGGCAGACTGAAATGGCACTTTTGCTTCCTTATAGTTAACAAGAACTTGGTCTGTGTGCCAGAGTTGGGGAGATGGATAGATCACTTCACTGTGCCTGGGCTTCCTCATTTTCCCTCAGCCCTGTCACTTTTCTGCTCAGCAAGTGCTTAATGGGGGCAGGTGCCTTTTATACTGAGTGGGAGATGGACCTCGAGTGCTTTAATGGGATGTGAGCTGATGCACTGAAGTACTGAACATTCTAGAACAGTTACAGTCTCTTTTCAAGGAGAGAATGATCTCAAGGTAATTTCTAGCCTCAGATGTGAAGCAGGGATCTGGAAGCTGAAATGAATAGTGCAGTGATGTGTTTATATAGAAGAAAATTCATTAGCTCAGGTTGGCAGTGCCATTTTAACTCATGATTTAACAGGAACTACGATTTAAATCCAGGTACTTTAAGGATCTTGTGTCTGTTGGGTGAGATCGTTCTGTGGTATTCTGCTAAAGCTTCTTATTCCCTAAGGAACAGAGTCATAGCATAGAAATGCAGATGGCAGAGAGGCTGGATGTGCAGCCCTGGCTGCTGCACAGAGCAGGGGGATTCAGGAGGGTGTAACTCACCTGTGCTGGGTAAGGACAGCTGCTGCAGGCAGGGAGGGTGGGATCCCTCTGCATCCCAGCCCCAGCATGGAAAAAATTAAGGGCTGCAGTCCGTTAAGTACTGAAGTGCTGCAGGTAGAACGTGGACCTGTTCCCAGTTACATCACCTCCCTGGGTGCCAACAGCTCATCCAGTGCCTTCAGTTTTCTTAAAAACCTTTTACAAATCCTCTGTAGGGAAGTGGCTTTTTTCCAGCCTGGCCCTCACCCTGGCTGTCTCTCAACAATTTCTGTGAGGAAATGAGAGAAACAGGAATTACTGACGCCCCAATACCTGCAGACATGACAATGTTTGTCACTAGTACCAAGTGCTAAAGCAGGAACAAACCCTGCAGCTACTTTATATTACAATACAGCCCCAAAAAAACCATTCTGACAATGTTTGTCGCTAGTACCAAGTGCTAAAGCAAAACCTGCAGCTACTTTATATTACAATACAGCCCCAAAAAAAACATTTCTTCTCACCTCCCAAGACAGACACTGTGATATCAGCCACACTCCCCTGCCTTCAGAAACAAAGTGAAACTCATTTATATTGTGTAACACAATGTTCCTGCTACAAGTTAGGTTTTAATGCCTCATCTTTTTAGATGTTGTCTTGTTACTTGATGAAGCAGCTGAAACAGTTTCTAGTCTGACATGAATTGTTGCTTTATGTATTTCTATCTTGTATTTAGGAGGAGCAGTTACAGTGTTTTCACATAAGCCCTTTTTTTTTTTTTTTCCTGGCCCCTGGCAATTCTGACGGGATGTGGGGTTTGAGGCGTGGTCTCAGCTTTCCAGCTGCCCCTGTACATGTGGTCTGACATTTTCTGTATTACTGTTATTTGTAATGCATTGTCATTTTCTGTTGCCCTCCCCTTCTCAAAAAACAGGTATGACCAATGAAGGGTGTTCAGTGAACTGTGCAGAGGAACATCTGTGTCTCTGCAAGGACAGAGGAGTTGGTTCAAAGCCTCATAATCTGCATTAATAACTCAGAACACATTATCACTTTGCAGTCAAAACTGTGGTTTGGACATTATTGGGTCTGTCTTACACCTGTTTGTGAAATTCAGCTAAATTTTCTGAAATTTCTAGGTTCTGGAAGAACCTAGATAGGCCACTTAGCTACTTCCCTCTTTTAAAAATACTTACCTACACCACAGATAGAAGTATGAAACTTTCCAAAAGCCTTAATAAAATTGGGTCATATAATTGTACAGATTTGGGTGGGTTTTTTTCCCCCCAGTTTTTGGGGTTTTTTTTTGAGCATTGCCTGTCCAGTTAATGTCAAAATAGCAGAAAGTTAGGAATATCCTGTCAGTACCAGAAAGAAGAAAAAAAAAAAAAAAAAAAAAAAGTATTTTAAAAGGGTGTCACTATAGTACCAGAAAGAAGGAAAAAAAAAAAAAAGCAAACAGTATTTTAACAGTGTGTCATTAGTGCAAGGAATGAAACTAGATTAAGTTAATGCTCTTTTGAAACCTCTTTTTTAAAGTAGGAATAAGTGACTGGTTTCTAGGCAATGAGCAGGCAAACCTTTTGACTTTCATTCATGTAAGCATGAGGTGTCTCAGAATCTTGGAGATTAAATTCAAAATGGCATTTAAGGAGACATGCAGAGTATTAGGGTTTGAAAACATGAGAGGGATTAATAGAACATTTCATTTAGAAGTACCTCTTACCCTGTTGGGGCTGTGTCTCAGGGTTTTCAAAGCCACTGTCCTGTGAGTGTTGGCTCCTTGATCAGAAATGTGTCCTATTCTGGTGTAGTAAGAGTTGCTCTTGGCATGGGAAGCAAGGTGTTAAAGCTGCTTTCAAAATTCAGGCTTTTAACCTTTCATTTTGCCTTCTGAAGGGGCCAAAAGCCACACAGGCACATGAGCAAAAGGTTGTACCCAAACTTATAAGAGGCAGAGAGGTGTTTTCATGGGAATGCTCATTAATCCCTGCTCAGTTTAACCTCACATTCACTGATCTAATCACACTCAGTGAGTTCCAGATAAGATAGGATGTATCTCCTGCTTATCAGGTGTGTTGTCAGCCCTGGGTTAAAGATCTGCATGATCATTGTCCCACAGCTTCTGTCTGACAGCAGGACGGGCCAGCAAAGCTCACTTGCTCAGGGCTGCAGGGAATGCAGGAATATCTGAGCTCAGGAGGTGTTTTGGAACTGAGCTGGAGCTCAACCATGGGAAACCTAGAGAACATCATCCTCTTGTGTTTAATTGCTGCTGGTACAGAGCAGCAGCAGTGCCAGCAGCAAGAGCCAAACCCCAGTGCTGGGTCACTGCATCTCTGACACCAACCAGGAAACCCAGGACACAGAACCTCTGGGATAAATTCAGTATGTGATAGGAGACATTTCTCTGAACTGCCTTGGAATATAGTATTTAATATTGTATTTAAGCAACGTTCTTAAAGTTATTCCCCAACTTAACATGTAAATTATTACCTTTTCCAGGAAATCCAGTAGAGGAGACTTCGTGTTTTCTGCTGATCGTCTGGTAGGTGAAGAATTTCTTGTTCTTGATGTTGTACTTTGCAACAATGGGTCTTTCAGGACAGAGGAGTGGGAGTGTGACAGTGACTTTTCTACCCAAAGGAAATTGCTGTATGACTGCAGCTTTCTATATAGGGACTTCTGTTCACTGTTTCATCTCAACAGGTTCCAGAAACCATTCTGCTACCAGACACAGCTACTTGAAGACAGAGGCCTTCAGTAATAAGAAAATTCTGTTCAAAAACAGATGCACAGAGGTTGCAGATAATTGAGTTTTATTTTGAAGCAGCACTTTTGATCTTGTGAACAGAGCAGTACAATTTCTTACAGATGTTACCAGTTGCTTGCATGCAGAAGTGCCTCCTGGCACTTGCTGTGTATTAGATTATTAGCTCTGGGTGCATCCACATGGAGAATTTGTCTTTAGCCATGTGGTGGTTACAGGCAGGGACAAAGCAGTTTGAAGTTTTCACATGTTTTAGTAAGTTAGAACAAAGACTGCTGAGAGTGTAGCCTTTATCTCATTTAAATTACAAGCTTAAAGAAAACCCCAGCACTTGCTACCACACATGCTTGTGTCCACAACAGTGTTTGCTTTTCACAAATCCACTCTCATTAACAGAGGGAAGTGTTTTTCCCCTTCCAGCATAGTCCAGAGACCATTCACAGTTACAGCCCCAGCATGCAGTTTTCCTGTGGTGAGCCCAAGCTTAATCCAGGCTTGCTCAGGTTTGACCACAAGCTAAGATTGTGACTGCAGTGCTGTTTATCTTCATGGCTTTCCACTTTCACCCCACTTTCCCCTTCTTGAGGATGTTTCCTGCATTCCAGTACCTTACTGTCAGTAATAAGTGTGAAGGACCTTTTTCCATGTACCTTCTCACCTTTCTTGGGTGTCCTGCCCTGTTCTGAGGCAAACACTGATTTTTTTTCAGCAATGGCACTCACCTCTCTGGGAGAGGAGCAGCTGGTTCTTGGGGCATGAGAGAAGAGAGGAGGAAATTAATCCTTGAGTGTGGAGGTGGCAGGAAGCACAGTGCAAAAATAAATGTTTTATCAACACTGACAAGTTTACAAAGAATCCTTCCAGCCCCTGTGTAAAACACTGATAAGTGTAGGGAGATCACAGAGATTATTTGACCATAAGACCTTTACTGGATTACTCTAAACTTTTGGTAGATTATGTGGAGCAATGTCAGCACTTCAGCAAGATGAAAAAGGCTTTTCTTCCAAACCTGGCAAATAGGTTGGCTTTTTTTTTTTTTTTTTTTTTTTTTTTTTTTTTGTGAACTAAGTTCAAAAATATAAAATAAAATTGGGTACAAATGTCCCAGAAACTATCCGCAACCTCTGAGTATGGCTGCCACAAACACAGCTCTAGGAAGAAAAAGTTGTATTAAAATGACTAAAAATACCTTGAAAGAGAGATTATAAATGTAAGGGACCATTTCTAGCAGAGGCTGCTTGTGTGCCAGGGACTGGGGCAGAATGGAAGGACAGGAAAACCTTCCAGGCTGCCCTCTGGAATAAGAACTGCCTGAGGTGAGCAGTACCTGCTCCATCCCAGGAGCATTGCCTCACTCTCCATCCCACAGTGAATTTTGAATAATCAGTGATTTTTCAGTTAAAGCTCTTGCTTGGCAGTAGCTTTCCTTGAGCAGTTCTGGGCTGTGAATCTTTGGCTCACGAACAGAGAGAATTCTCACATCTTTGATCCCCAGAGCATCCTCCAGGACAGTCATTCTGGCTGCAGTTTGGATGTGTTTGGTACTTTGCAGGGCAGCACCAGGGGAGGCCTGGGGGCTCACGAGCTCTGCCCTTCACCTGCACCATCCAAAAGTGCAGGGATTGGCAGCACCACCTGGAAACCAGAGCTGGCAGGAGTGGGAGGTGAAGGTGATAGAGACTCCTGGACCTGCTGACTTGTCTTTGGGCACTGGTGGTGTATGTGCATTGCTGCAGCTTCTGGGGCTGTTCTGGCAGCCCAGCTGCAGTTTAGTCCTAGAAACAGGGATGTGAAAATAGAGCCTGGCTGAGGGGGAACTTCACCTTTCCCTCACCGGGATTTCCTGTCAGCAAATGGAGTTACATTGGTGCCTCACTCATCTGTTGAGAAGAATTTGTCTGTGAAGCCTCTGCCTACCAGATGTAAATAAAGTCAGTTTAATGATTGCTTATGAACCCCTCTCTTCTCCCAGTTTTGTTCTGCAATGCCTTTGTTTGATTTGTGGCCAAAACATAGGCCTCACCCCCAAAAGGTCTCTAGCAACAATTAGGGACTGAATTTAAAGAGACCCTTTTAGACCATTTGGGCTCATTCAGTCCTTGTAACTGCTACTGCCATGTAGTGCCTTATGTTCAGAGATAACAGTCCCTTAAAGCTGGCTCACCTCTTTGGTTCCACAGATCAGACTCGTGGTTGAAGAGGGACTGAATCAACTGCCCTACACAGAATGTACTGTGACCACTCCAACAGGTATGTGGGAAATCACCCCTGGCCTGGGTCAGACTGGAGGTGGAACTGATATCAAAGTACATAGAATTATTACAAGAGTTACAGGATATCCTGAGCTGGAAGGGACTCAGAGGATCGTTGAGTCCAACTCCCTGCTCCTCAGAGAACTGCCCAAAACTGAACCCTGCAACATCCAGGTGGTCTTTGAAATCTGACAGGCTTGGTGCCACGAGTGCTTCCCTGGGAGCACTGAGCAGGCAGAGTGACTGTCCCTGCTGGTTTAGAAAGCTACAAGGCACATACCACAACTGAGCAAAACAGTCAACATTGTCTTTTCACTAAGGATTACAGTGGTTTTGCAAAACCATGATGAAAATGTACCAATGTATGTGCAAGATCAGTTCACCTGCCCACACCACAGCCTTGAACTAAAACTGATGGCATTTCACATGCCCATTAAGGAAAAAGTGCTTGGCACAAGCAGCTTTGCTTTGCCAGCCTAAATCTGTCTGTGCAACTGGGGCCAGCTAGGAGTGAGGATGAGCAGGAAATGCAAAGTGGCACTAGAGAAAACCATTGCAGGAGTTGTGGGTCCTCCTGTCAGCTGTAAAGATCTGTAAGGTTACAGCTACTCAGGTGTGCAGTACTCAGAGGCAGCTGCTGAGTGCAGCAGCAGGTTGGGAGAACTGCTCAGCTCCGTGGTGTGGCCCACAGCACACCTGTGAGATGTGCACCAGCTGAGTCCTGTTCCCCTGAGTACTCCACTTGCATTCCTGCAGGGTGACACTCGCACTCTGCAGTAAAGCATTGGTGTGGCTGTACTTACAATTGGAGAAATGATGAACTGCAAACCCTCAACTGTGGAAGCAGACAGAGTTCACACACACACCCAGGAGGCACCATCCATTACCTGTGCTCATTTTTACATCAAACAGCAGCCCCTTCACCTTTGAGCATTGGTGTCACATCTGTTCCCATGAGGCAGTGACAGACCCAGGACCATCTCCTCTCTGCTCAGAGAGGGCAGAAGGGAGCAGCCACTGAGCCCTGGTTTCTTCCCTCACAGGACACAAGTATGAAGGAGTCCGATTTGAGAAGGGAAACTGCGGGGTCAGCATCATGAGAAGTGGTAGGTGGTGCTGGCTGCTGAAGGACACACATTAAATGCTTTGGAAACTTGGAAGCAACTTCCTTTCAAAGATGTGCAACAACAGGTTTACCCAAATTCTTTCTTAGGTGTCCTTGATAAGAGAATGTCCAGGAATATCTCCCATTAACCTTTAAGGAGACAAATGGCTGGCACAGATCTCCTGTGGCCCCTTCCCTGGCAGCTGTTCCCTGTGAGGGGCCAAGTGCCTTCCCCTGTTTCCCTCTTGTGCCCAGAGCCAGGGCCCCACCCCAGCCACGCTCGGTGGGGGCAGAGTCCCTGTCAGTGCCCAGTGCTGGGCAAACCTTTGGATCTGTGCTGGCAAAGCCAGCTCTGGCCCCACACTCTGCCCCACCCTCTGTCACCGGGATGTCCCCAAACCCCACCCGCCCCTTCTGACCTTTCCAGCTCTGTCCTGGGAGAGCTCAGCACAGCTGGGAGCACCAAACCCAGGGCTCGGGAACACCGAGGAGACTCGGTTTGCTGGAAACAGGGGAAAAAGGGGAAGGGCTTCAGGTGTTTTAATGCTCAGAACTGTCCACCAGCACGGGGGGCTGTCCCTCTGGGACTGTCCATTTGGGGACTGACCTTTTGGAGACTGTCCCTTTGGGACTGTTTCTTTGGGACTGTCTCTTTGGGGACTGTTTCTTTGGGACTGTCCTGTCCCTGCAGCCCCTTGCCCCGAGCCCTTTCCCAGTGTCACCATCTGCTGCTGTGTCTGTGCTGGCCCTGCAGGGGAGGCGATGGAGCAGGGCCTGCGGGACTGCTGCCGCTCCATCCGCATCGGGAAAATCCTGATCCAGAGCGACGAGGAGACCCAGCGAGCCAAGGTGTACTACGCCAAGTTCCCCCCAGACATCTACAGGAGGAAAGTGCTGCTCATGTACCCGATCCTCAGTGAGTGTCCAGCACGGACAGCCGGGCTCCTCTGAGCGCTGAGCGCGGCACTGATTGAAAAATTCCACATTCTGGGGCTCTGATTGGGATTTCTGCTTGGTTTAGGTGACAGGAGGGAAGTGATCAGGCTGTGCCAGGACGCAGGTGACAGAGGAGGGAATTGATCAGGCTGTGCCAGGACACACATTACTCAGCTGCACCAGTGTGAATGCAGAGCAAATCGTTTGGGCATGGCTGCATTTGGGAGAAAGGCTGAGATTAAGATTGGATATAAATTTAATTATATGAATTTTACCTTGGGAAAAGACTCAAACAGTGTTTTTCTTATTCTGAGACATTTCTAGATTAATATTATAAGGAGTTTGTTGGGATGAGGTTACTTGTCCACTCCAAGTTCTGCCATTAGGAGAACAAAGAGTACATGCAGAGGTGATGCCTTTCCTGGGGGAAAGGACGGAGTCACCATTCAGTCACAACTGTACCAGAGGTATTCTCAGACAGTTTAGGACAAGTTCATCAACCAAGGCAAAACCCCTAAAGCCTCTCCCCCTGTTTGCCCTCTCAGGTACTGGGAACACGGTCATCGAGGCTGTCAAGGTGCTCGTGGAACACGGGGTCCAGCCCAGCGTCATCATCCTGCTCAGCCTCTTCTCCACTCCTCACGGTGAGTGGGGGGCACAGGAGTGAGCACAGCTGTGTCTGCTGGGGACAGTGCCATCAGTCACACAGGGGACAGGCAGGGCAGAGCTGAGCCTCTGCCATGGCAGCATCGCTTTGCTCAGAGCAGATTTGGGTGTTTTTGGCTGAATTGTAAGACTGAGCAAATAGCGCCGTGTTTAGAGTGGGCAGTGAGGAGGGGACTGAGTGGCAAAACTGCAAATGGGAGAGAGTTCCTAAAAGCAGGAGTTTGCAGCACTGCCAGTTCATGGCTCACAGAGCAGTGCCACAGCAACACCAGGAGTGGGAGCTGAATGGAGCTACAGAACTGGCCTGGCTGCAGGTTAGAGGTAAAAGGGGATCTAAATGAGGAACATTTGCTTCTCTGGGAGGAAAAAGGATCTTGTGTGTTGTGTTAGAAATTAGCCATGGCAGAAATCTCTATCAGAAAACTCAGCTGAACTGCAGAGCAGCCTGTACCCACTTTAATTGGGAGTATGGCTGTATGGGGAAGAAAACCCCAAAAAAGCAATTCCCTGAAGTCAGGCAGTTTCCTCAGAGATGGTTAGCTAAGGGAGGAACAGGAAGAGGAGACAAGCACAGAGCCTGACTTACTTTTGGAATGCTGCTGATCACGGTTTGACATGGGCTGAAGCACTGTAGTCATTATTGCCTTTCCTGTCTTCCAAGGTGCCAAATCCATCATCCAGGAATTCCCAGACATCACCATTTTAACTACAGAAGTGCATCCTGTTGCACCAACACACTTTGGACAGAAGTATTTTGGGACAGACTGACAGTCTTGGAACAACTGGATATGACTCTATGGCATTACAAGAGGTTTTTTTACATTTTATTACTATTGAGTTGGTTGAGGGCATGTTTAAAAACCTTTTTGGCCAACTAACTTAGGTTAGTGCTGGCCTGAACAGGGATCAGGTACAGTGACAAAGCACTCTGGTTACATGGTCAAGCATCTCCATGTTGGGGCTCTATAACTGCCACACTCTGCTTTTATTCCTATTTATTCTTCTCCAGCCTGTCCGTGGCCACCTGCAAGAGCAAAATAAACCCAACTAAACCCCAAGGGAGTGTCCTTCATTTCTAGGGTCACTTGGCATCACTCCAGCCACAGCCACTCCCACTGCTTCCAAATCTCAGGGTCCTCCTCAGCAGCCACATGGATTTTTGGTCTTTGGCTGGTAATAAAGATACAACTTTGGAATTTTGCTCTGCAAACATTATTCTCAAATAGTGAAACACCCCTGGTTGTCTTGCTCCGGTCTCCTCTCTCTCAAGAAGATTCCTGTTGCAGCAGAGGTGCAAACTGGGTGGGAACTGGGGGTGGGAGCAGCACTGCCTGTGGAAATTCTACACATACAGAACTTGGGAGTTGTAAGAGACAAAACGTGTGGCTGGATCAGTCTCACCAACCCTTTAAAAGACAGGAAAACTGCAGCAAAAAGCTGGAACTCGATTTCTAGTCCTGTTCACAGAGCTCCAGAGCCAGGAGACAAGCGTGGCCCTCATGGCTCAGCAGCCTTTCCAAAGCCTCAGGGCACTCCTTGTTTGGGTCACATTAAACATCAATCTGCAGCCAAATCCCTTCTTTCTTTGAATCCCCGGGCATCAAGCACACCACACCCAGCTGTCCAGTACCTCCCCTCACTGTAACTTTGGGGAAATCCAGGAACACAATATAAGCCATTATTATTTTAAAATATATCCATATTCTACAATTACAGGATTAGGGAATGTTGTCTCAAGTAGTGTCCTTACCTCTCATCAGGTGAGTGGAGTGCTGAGGTCTGGGCTGCCCACAGCAATGAATCTTTTTGTCACAGATAAAGAACATTCCCTATTCCAAGCAGTAATTCCAATTAATTAAAGTTGTGTAACACTTCCAGAGAGGGAATTTTAGCTCAAGCATAGGAAATAACCATTCACAAGTCTAATTAATTAGCCAAAAATGGTTTTAATGCAGTCCTTGCCTGCAGTGCAGTATAAACCATAATAAAAAACAACAAAGCAGAACAGACAGGATATTCAGCTGTAGAAACTGTACAAACACTTGGAAAATACAGTGAAACTCCACAGAGCATCAGCATAGTCAGAGCATTGGTCTGACAGTTAAAATGAGTATCCAAGGCTTTTGTAAAAACCCATTTTATATCAAAAGTCTCAATGCCAGCAGCAGCAGCAGCATTAAATTCCTGAACTCAACACCCCAAAGGTGGGCAGCAATCCTGGTGTGACATTCCTTGGAAAATAATTACTTCCCATCGAATTAGGGGGGAGGGATGTGTAGGCAGCCACCCTTCTGACTGGAACAGCTGCCAGCCCCAGGCCATGCTGGGTTCCTAAGAAGCAGCTGGATGCAGTTCCCACTCCAGGGATTGCTGCTGTGTCCCAGTTCTGTCAGCTCCATGGGGAATGGCTGATCCTGCCCCAGAGGGGGCTCCCAAAGGGCTCCCCTGACCCCCATTTTCCAGTGTGTGAAACCCCCTGGCTTTTCTGGGCTGACATAGCTCCCAAAGGGCTCCCCTGACCCCCAGCAGCCCCTGCAGTGGGTTCTGCTCCAGCCCCATTTTCCAGTGTGTGAAACCCCCTGGCTTTTCTGGGCTGACATTAAACCCTGCTGCTGCATTGACAACACCACGCCCTGCTGTTCTCTGATCCTGAGATTTAGCTCAGTTCTATCTTTTGTACCACAAACAGCATTTTCAGATGAGGAGCAGCCATCTGAGCAGGCAGATTATAAATTTATAAAACAACAAGACCTTTCCTACTTCCTGTGTTCCTAACCCAAAGTTCCCTGCTCCAGCAATGGATTTGGAATCACTCTGGAGTAGCTCCATGAGTACAGCAGGAAGCCATTCCATAGTGTAGTTAACTCCAAAGAAGGAAGGAGTTAAATGAGAACAGAGGAAGCACAGTTCCACCTCCTCACTCCAGCTCTCAGGCACAGCCTTGTCCCTCCCAGGGAAGGTCACCTGCACCAGCCCAGCAGTTCCTGACATCAGCAGCGTTCCAGGTGCTGAGGGAGTTCTGGGACACATCCTGGAGGCTCCCACATCCTCCAGAAGGTGTGGGGGGAATAATACACCAACACTTTCACTCTGGGCTTCTGTTTCTTTTACAGAGGGAAATGCTGAGAAGGGGCTGCACACACCTTCCCCAGGTTAGAAAGGAGAGGGGGAGGCTGATTTTTTTGGGTTTCAGGCTTCCTGTGGGATTTAGTCCAAGGTGTAACTCAAGGAAGTGCTTCAGGAAGTACTGAAACAGCAGGGAAGTGTCAGGTGAGGTACCTGCGTGTCCCAGGGCTGTCTGACACCAGCACTGCATGCTAGCAGGCATTTCTTTTCAAGCACAGCTGGAATAAGAAGCAGAGATGATCCCTGTGTCCTTTTTGTTGGATTTTTTTGTGGTTGTGGCTTCCCCCCCCTCCTTAGCATATTTTTTTTTTTTAACAATGGCTGTTACCCACTAAAGTTTTACAAATGCTGCTGTAAATCTTAAAACCTCATACAGAAAAAAAATAGTATTTTAAGGAGCATGCAGGCATGAGCAACTTACAGGCTTGTATTTGAAATGTAAACTTACATTTTATTTCACAAGGTTTACGTCCCAAAAGGAAGCTGGAGAATGAAGAAATGAGGCTTTTAGGAAAGAGAAAATGCAGGAAATGGGATCCTGCTCTAAGCAAAGCCAGCTGGGCCTGATGATGGGAACCACAAACCAATACCTGACAAACAGAGATTTAATTACAAATAAATACATGGCACAACTGCATAAAATGACACCTACTCACCTTCACAGTATCCAAAAAACCAGCACAAGCAGCTCACAGCTGAAAATATTTAACTGTATGTTCAGGAGGAAGAGGAAAGACTCAAAGTGGGATGGGAAAAGGACAAGAGACTAAAACCCTGCAGCAGTGGGTGTGAGCTCAGCGTTTGTGACCAGGGCAGGGAATGCAGCACTGGGCAGGAAGAGCCCATGGCAGAGCCAGTGCAGGGTCTGCCAGACCAGAGCCCCTCTGCCATGCAAACACCTTCAGTCATCTGGATGATCTGATCACTTCAGAATGAGTTTAGGTTTGCAAGTGTTCTGCAATAAAGCAGAAGCTGATAGAATTGGAAAAATATCAATAAAATTGAGGTATTTTCAAGTACTATGGATCCATTTCAGAAATCTGTACCACAGGAGTCACTGAAATGAAAACGTGACCCTTTTGAGTTAATTAATTCTGGCTTAATAAACAAGGTCAGCAGTGGCTCCTTCCCCTGCTAATTAAACCCTTCCATGAGTGCCTCAGCTCTGCACAGAGTAACTGCTCAGCAGAGTAACTCTGCACAGAGTAACTGCTCAGTACATCATTCTTCATAGCTAAATTCAGGGAAAAAATAGTAATTTCTTTTTCCCCTTTACATTTTACATTCATATCACATGACAGACTTTATGCATCAAGTTGTGCTTTCAGTCCAGACCAGCATCCAGAACTACAGAGCTGCAGCTGGTGTGGATTTTGCTGAATCCATTCCTGTTTGTCCCAGGAAGCAAACATTCATTGCATAGTGTGATTTGGAAGCTTCCTGATTCTCACCAGTGACTGCACCCCACACACACTGGGTACAGCTTCCTCAAACATACAGAACGCTCCTTGCTTGAAGGAAAACAAGATTATCCTACTCCAAAAACTTCCAACTCAGCAAGAGAAACCTGGCAGTGCAGTGGGGGTTGCACAAGTCCTGGTTCCTTGGACAGGACTTGCTGGCCCAGGGCTGGACTTAGGACAATTGCACGCAGAGAAACATCAATATGATGCTCTGTCTGGGTTTTTGTACCTGAATGTAAATGGGAGAGAAGGGGGGGAGGTGAGCAGGTGGCTGTTAGTGGTCAGTTATTTCAGAGGATGAATCCAGGAGCAGAGGGATAACAATGGAGGCATCACAGTAAAGTCCAATAAAAGAGTTCTCTCCTTTCCATGGTGACATCACTTGGAGAAGTTGCTCCAAGCTGAGAAAGCTGTAGTGTAGATCCAGTGCTAAGCAGAGAAAGCAGCCCCTGGAGGGGGTTGAGACAGTTCCCTTGCTGCCTCCACACTGCTCCAGGCTGGAGTGGAACACCTTCAGCAGCCCCTACAGCCACACAACTGACAGCAGCACCAGAACCAGGACTCGGACCTTAACAGTTCTCCAGATTCCCTGAATGGAACTGCACCTACAGCACACACCCAGAGAGTGACACTGAACACTGCTGGCAATCCCACTGGGGACACATTGGCTGCTCCTGGCACACAGAGGGCTCAAGGTGCACCTGGAATGCTGGGCCACCAGCACAGGCAGTGTAAGATACTCACAGGATGAGCTGGCACCACTGGCCAGCTCCCAGAGCTGCAGTATCCTTGGTGTTGATGAGACTTGGGGCATGAATCCCACTCCTGGAATGCTGGGATGGAGAGTGCAGGCAGGGCAGGTAGGGGAGAGGTTTGATGATAAAGCCCTTACAGTCAGTGATGATGGTGGAGAGCCTCTGGATGAGGATCAGGGCATGGAAAACAAAGGAGGAGCTGCAGTGGGTTACCTCTGAAGAGCCATTTGCAGGTTAAAAAAAACCTATCACACACTGGGCTGAATATTCTCTCTTTTGTCACCTGCAGCATTGACCACAACAGCCTGAGGAACTGTTTTCCAGTGCATTTACTCAGCATAAAAAGGACAAAGGCCAGAGGTAAAATAAGGATATCACCTTCAGTGAGCAGAAGGGAACAAAATGGAGCTGCTCACTCAGACATGTGGGTTTTTCCCATTTTGTTCTGCCTCATTTTACACAGCTTTTGGTTTGTTTCACATTTCATTGAGCTTTCCAGCATCTGATGTGTGGATATTGAGAAGTGGCTCTGAAGTGATAAACTTTGTGTTGCTTCTACCTGGACAAGAGTTTGTTACAACCACGGGAGGCTGAGCTGCTTTGAAGGAAAGGGAAGAGATAACCATAATTAATTACAAGAAAGGTGACTGAATAAAAGTTACTTGGAAATGTTTAAAACCCTTTCTCAATCTGAGCTTGGTACCATCACAAAGATATCTGCCTTAGTATTAGATGACAAAATCTGATTTTCTGTACTCCCTAATGAGCAGTGCAGCAGCAGGAGCAGGCAGGGGAGCTCCTGCACAGCTCTGCTGCTGCTGCCTGGCACAGAAACAACTCAAATAATGGCAGGGCTGTAACCAGAGCCAAACCCAGGAGGGGAACAAGGACCTGCTCAGAAAACTCCTCTAAATCCACACAAGCTCTGTAAATTCACACAAAAAACCCTCCTGCAAATCCACACAAGCTCTGTAAATTCACACAAAAAACCCCTCCTGCAAATCCACACAAACACTTCAGCTGGCAGGATGAAACAGAAAGTCACCAAATCACCTTCCTGGTTTTAGATACACGGAATTTAAAGTTTTTAAAGGCACAAATAGCACCTCTGTAGGTGCTAAATTCTGGCTGTGTTTAGCTGCCATCATCCTCTCAAGCTCCCCCTCCAGAGCACATTTTGCCAGGAACGAGGGGATTAATTCAGCTGCCACCTTGCATCACACACAGCACAAGGTCCAACACCAGATTTACATTAGAAATGCAGCTTTAGATTGACAGGAAAAACCCTTCCAGCACTCAGCAGCCATTTGGTGACAGAGCCACTCAACAGATGGGGCTCAGGTGTCTGAAGCTGGAACATTTTCAGTGTTCAGGGCCACCCTGAGGAGAGACACAAACCCACAGGAGCCTGGGCCAGCCCAGCATGGCCCCTCACAGCCAAATTCAGCAGTGAGACATCGCAGGGAGATCAGCACTGCCTGCTCCACACAAACTGCACAGGCTGAGGAACAAAATTCCTGCCCACAGGGCACGGATCAGCCAGGAGTGAAACACTTTCTCTTAGGGAAGGAACCTCTGCAAAGCTCTCCTGGCTCACAAACACATTCCCTGTGGCAGCAGCAGCAGAGGAACAGAGGAAAAAGGGGTTTAGTCTGTAGCAAAAACTCCATCTCCATATTCACTCATCAGCTCCTTTCTGCTGGCATTCACAGCTGCTCCTGTAGTCACTGCCAACAACAGTGGGCTGATAAACACAAAAATGGGATAGAAAATGGTACTAAATGATCTTAGAGGCAGTACACCAATACTTTTAGCATGCACCTAATTCAAATAAGAATGATGGACTGGGCTGAATCATGCAGATTTAAAAAAAAAGGACTCAGGTCTAGAAAAATATCCATAATCCAGCCAGCCAAGTCTCAGTTCCATTCCCCAGAACAAAAACAGGGATACACCTCTTTGACTGTAAATGCAGTAAAATGCATAAACAAATCTGATCACCTCGTAGTGCAGAAACCCCTGAAGCCAGTCAGTGCACTGAGCTGGGAAGAAGTCTGAAAAAATTCAATACACCAATTGTGTCTTCAGCAATTTGGGGTTCAGGCCACCCCTGTGGAGTGCAAACTCCAAACATGACTCTTGGAGCCAAGCTTTCAGTGCATGTTTTGAATTCACATCTTCCTTTCTGACTCCATGAACACACAAATCTCCATCAAACACTGATCCAGGAATGAGATGATATTTTAACCCTAGGAATTAATGCAAACTGGACTGTCTGAAGTTCCCTTTTGCATTTTAGGAGCCTGCAAGTGGGATGCAAGAGCACTAAAACCCAAACTCAAGGAAAATAACACCCCCTAAAAATGCTTTAAAAAACCTATGGCCACAATATTCTTGAATCTTGATACTGGCAATGTGAATATTTTATTTTCACTCACAGCTGCACATGTACATGTGCATGTTCAGCACTTTTGCTTTCAACACTCTTACATTCAGCTACCAATTTAGTGCCAGCTTTAACTGGGTCTGTCTTGCATTGAGCTGAACTCACTCAGAATTTAAATACATTAGAAAATGCCACTTGTCAGAGAAGGTTGGAGAATCAGCCTCAAAATAAATAACCATCCCCAAGAATATTATGGCTTGGAAAAATTTCAAGAGCTTGAGTCCCTGATGTTTGCAAAATGAAAAGGCCTTCGGAAACGCACTCGCATCAACATTTTTACCCATTTTGAATAAAAAATATAGAGTATTTATAAAATAAAGAGAGCAGGCCAAAGAAGATTGGCCACAATCACTCTGTAAAATTGTTCTGTTAACTCCGTAACTTAAATTTATAAAGCCTTGGGACATCTGGACAGCAGGATTCCTGGAGAAGCACTCTGGAATGCAGATTCCCATCAGACAATACTTCAGGATGTTTTCTCATCTTGAAGATCCGCCTGTTTTCTGCCCCTCAAAACTGAAGTCCTTGCCAAGAGAAGGGATGTTGGCTCCTGAGAGGAAAGCTGAAATTTAAAGAAATACAATTGTGCAACCATAGCAATGCTGTTATGAGGGACTGAGGGCTGATCTGGGCTTTGGGAGTCATTTTAAAGCCATGAAGAACAACAGGAGAAAGCTGATTTTGCCTGCCCTGCTGGGATGGCAGGATGCAGCCCTCGGTGCTGACAGAAAAACACTCTGGGGTTTTTCTTAGTGAACAAGGTAGACTCCTACACCGTGCCCACTGGCAGCAGCGTGGAGGGGCCCTGTCTGCCAGGGGAGCCAGGCAGGGATTGCAGTGCTCTGCCCCTCCACAGTTACTGACTGCCTTGGAACTGAGAGGGGCAAACTCCACCTGCAGTGGGACAGCAGGGATGCTGCTGGAATCTGGGTCAGTTCCATTCCCCAGGGACAACAGGACACTGTGCCCTCCTCACTGCCTGCAGCTCCTGGGGCAGGATGTGTGTGGAGCATCTCCCCTGTTCTCGGAGCAGGAGGCAGAGCAGGGAATGTTCTGGAAGCAGCACCTGCCCCAGCTGGTGTTAGCTCTTGTGGGACCCACCTTTCCCAGGGGGAGAGAAAGCCTGGAGAAGAGTGACAGCTGATGTGACATTACAAGGCATTTCCTTGTACCCCCAGCTGCAACTTGGCTGTGCTCAGCTTCAGTTCAACACCTCACCTGCACCTTCCCACACCTCCCATGATCCCAGAATTTCCATTCTGTCTGTCATGGAACTCCACTGTCCAAGTCATGTTTTCCAGAGGAGCTGCAGGATCGGTGTTGTCCCCTTCACAGAGTGCTGGTGGCTCTGGTGTCACCTGTGCCACACCCAGCCCAGGGCTCTGAGAGCCTCTGCCTCCCTTCAGGGCCCCTTGAACAAGGGATTTCTGGGCAAGCTGGAGAAATATTTTTCTGCTAAAGCCCAAGCCTTTTCAACATTACCTCCCCACTCCCTGCAGAGCACTGGTTTTGAGGGAAATAAAGAAAGAAATACCTTTCTGATCCAGCTTTACACCACTGTTTTCACACTGCTATGTCTCCCTTTCTATGGCAAGGGATGAAGCTTCACCAGAACCTGTGAAAAGCAAAGCAGTTAGAGGCAAATAAATCTGGTTTTCTCGCTGAGAATACAAATTTCACTAAGCATGGGGTTGTGTTTTTAAGGATAATTACAAACAAAAATAGACAAGCACTTGTCTCAGAGAACTGAGCAGCTGTTTTAAACTGAGATTACTCTATTATTGGCTTTATTTCATAACCAAGTCACAAGCTTTAAAGTCACAAAGACAAATAAAGGTCTTGCAGTTTTAATGGAACATTTCAGGTCTTTCTGGTTAGACATTTTTACTGGTTTACCTCTGTTGTGTAAGAGAGAATCTGAATATTTCAGTTGAAAGGGCCCACAGTGATTATCCAGTTCAACTGCCTGGAAATGTCAGTTATTTTATAAGCTCTATAAATCAGAAGACTTCATATAAGCTCCAGACCATAGTCTGGGGTCTGATCTAGCCAAAAATCACCTCACTGCCACCATTTTCATATTGAAGAATTAATTACTGATTCAGAGAATTTAAAGTTTGTAAAAATTGGAAGAAGCTCTGACTCATTCCTACAGGAGTTATTTTAAACATCATTAAAAATTCACAGAAATACAATAGTTTACTATTTTTAAAGCACATTTTGTTGGTTTTAAAACTCACTTGTGTTACCTTGTGTAAGTACCAAAATGTATAGAACCAACCAGGGAGAGGAGGTAAATTTACTCTGGAAATAAAGCTGGACAAAGTACAAAGCAGCTTCCTAAATGTATCCCTGAACTCAGATGTTTGCATGCCTGATTTCACACACTGTCATAGGATAAATACACTTAAAAAAAATCTAAACATTCTCCTTCTTGCAGGCACACTTTACATCCCAAATAACTGGGCTGCATGCAGCAACATTTACATGTAAACACTCTCAGTTTGTGGCAACTTCAGTTTCTCTAACCCTTGAAACATCTTTTAAGTTCATTCACCTGCAAGTAGAAAGTCATTAAAAAAAAAAAGAAAGAATTGTTTCCAAAGCAGAGCTTATTTTCAGTCTGTGCTCATTAATCAAGTCCCAGCTGCCCAGAGACTTAACCAACACAGTTTTTTTTATTTGATTAGCTCTTATAGTTCATTTATTGGCCACTGTAGGTCAGGACAACTAATTTCACTAATTCCTTACCCTGAGGCTCTTCATCTATTCCATCCTCTTCCCACTGTTCCTCATTTGTCAGGAGAGGGTTCCGAGCTTCACTCAAGGCTCTCATTGGGAAAAAATGTCCATCCCCCTGGCTGCATGGGAAAAGGCAGAGGGACACTGCAAAAGCAGCAAGTGACTCTAAAAGATGACAATTTCTCTACATTTTTTCTGCAAAGATTTCTGTTGCCAGTATTTTCCACGTTTATTTAATATCATCTTTAAGCTTGAAAAGCACCACGTTTATCTTTCATTTTGGTTCTCCATTTTTTCAAGGTCTCTGGAGTACCAAAGTTGAAACTTGTGGCCTGGAATCCAGTAATTTTTAGCAGAAGGTAAATGTGCTAATTTGATCAAGTAATTTGAATACAGAAAAAAAGCCCTGGAAAAATTAACTTCTGGGCAGTTAGAAGTGACAAGGGAACTAAGGAAAACATTTATGAAAACTAAGCAAATAGGTATAAATGTTATCAATTTATCCCACTGATTCTTCAGGGCAGAAATCTCACTTGTGTTTGAGTGACACCCAACAGAAAATGGCCCCACTCTTATTGGAAGACACATAAAACCCCCACTTTCCTGTGACCTAAGCCTGTACACAAAATGTGAAAAACTGTAATTATATCAGCTTTTAGCAGGGTCACTTACCTAGAGGCAATAGGCAGCAACCAGAGCTTTTTTTCTTCCCCAAACACTTGCTGGAGATTCTTCACAAAGCCAAGATTGAATCCATTTTTATCTGGGCCATTTTGAAACACTGGAGCTGAGAAAGCCTCTGCAAACAGAGGTGGTTTCAGTGGAAAAAAAATGAAAATCAATGGCAAACACTCTGAAACAGGGTTGTGCATCTTGTAACCATCTAAAGCCAATGTGATTTAACAGATTATAGAGATACAGCACTACAGTTTCAAAATAATGGCTTTCCCATTTTGCAAAGCCTGTAAAGACCTTCCAGCTGAAGGCAGGAATTTGGTTGTGCAACTGAACCTAGAGAACAGTCAAACCAACCCACAAGGAGTTGTTTCATCCAGAGAATGGAGTTAAAAGATCTTCCTGTGGGACTTTATGAAATTCAGAGAGTAAAAGATTCTAGGTAACAAACTCTGCAGGATGAAGTAGGTTGGTGTTCAGTGCATATTCCAGAAGTGGCACTGCAGATTTAAATCACCTCATTCGTTAATGTTAGAATGAACAAGCACTAGGGACAAACAAATGCAAATATACTCCAGGTTCTGGTGGGGCATAAAATTAAGAAAAGAAAGGAGAGAAGAACCTGGAGTGCCTTAGGAACAGTTTGATCTCCCCTCTCAGCTGCTGCACAGGTCTGATGTTTTGGGATAGATGAGCTTCAGTGCCCCATGAAATGATTTTTGAAGTAATAACTTGATAAAATCAGAATATTTGCTCTCTCTTGAGAGTGTCTGTTTTGTTACAAAACTTTATCCCAAAAGCTTTGTAAGTTGAACACTTTTCTAAGGAAAAGCAAAGAAACTTTGACAAAATGATACCATTTTAGACTATAATTTAATAGTCTAAAATAGACTATTAATTTATTTTAATAATTTAATAGTCTATTTTTAATTTCTTTAATTTTACAGTCACTACTTCTTTGCTTTTATCAGTAAAGATTGCCTTTATCACTGTGTTTCCCAAGCTCACCAAGCTGATTGGGGAGCACCTCAGTACAGGAATAATCCATTATTCCTGAAAAGCTGCACTCATGTCACAGCAAATGCAGTTTTATATACGCTTAACACTTTTATAATTGGACTTCTACACTTTAAGGCTCTGGTTTCCCTAAAAAAGCTTTTGTCACACCAGCTAATAAATGCAGCTCATTTGCAGAGACAAATTTCTGCAGCTTGTACCAAGACCTTAAATCTTCCTCCCCTCAAACACTGGCAGGAATGTACAGAAATAGAACAAATGCCTTTTTTTTTCTTCTCTTTTTTTTCTTCTTACAGCACCTTTGGTGTGTCTTACTAGAAGGAAGAGACAGAAGAGCCTTACCTAGAGTAGATCTGTTCCTGCTGACGAGCCAGCAGTGGTAGCCAAACAGAAACATGAGGCTCACAAAGAACATGATTGCCACAAAGAGAAGGAAAAGGATGTGAAATTTGGAACGTCCATTGGTCAGCTCACCCTGGAAAGGAAAGCAACACAGAACAAGTGATGGGAAAAAATTAAAGATGGAAATTATTTGTACTTAGAAATATAACTCTAAAACTCCTATTGGGAGTTCTTAAACTTTTACAGAAAAAAGTGAACATTACTATATAAAGCAAAAAGAGACAAAGAAATGAATGTGGTTCATTTCCCCTCCTGTACCACAGCACAAAGTGTAGGGGGTGTTATTAACCCCTGGTATGGCTCCGAGCCAGCCCACCACAGCTGCCCAGTGTGTGTGGGAAATGAGCAGGCAGAAGCTCTTGAAGCCCTGTTTAAGTTCTGCTGAGTTTCCTGTGCATACATTAAAATTCTGCACCTTACTCAAAGTAAGCCCAGAGAAACCTGCCCTCCACATCTGCAGCTACTGGGGAGTGTTAGAACTCAGCATAAATTGATGGGGAAAGTCTAAAAGCCAAGTGGGACATTCCAAGGAGAAGAAAGGCTCCTTTCCCTCTACAGCAGAAGAGCCAGGTGCCAGAGGTGCCCAGCAGGGACACAGGCAGGCTCTGGGGACCTCCTGGGCTCAGGGTTGTGCCTTGCTGAGTGTGGGGAACAATTAGTACACAGCAAAGGTACTTAAACACAAACATACACAGTTACTGAGCAGAGGGGACAGAAACAGAGACCAAGGGCCAGTGTCTTACAGGAGCTGTCAGCTGGCCTCACTTGCATAGAAGCAATCAGCAGTAACTGAATAAAATCCTCCTTTGGGCCGCTATTTTTAAATTGAGAAAGGAGGCCTATGGGAATTAGAAAATGAACAACGGTTTTTGACCCGATTTTTCTTTTCATAGTAAAATATGCACAAATCATTGCCAGGACTTTACACATCAATGCCAAACTTCCCAAGGGACACCCATGCAAACACAAGGACAGGGAAGGGATAGAGCCCCTCTGCCAGAAAAAAATCTACAGTCTGAAATTCTGAAGGCTGCTTGCTTCTTGCTTTGTGCATTTGGGACATCTAACAGGAGGTGGACTCCCAAAGGGCCCAGGAAACACCTCCCAGGAAAATGCAGCCCCTCCACTGCCTGACAGCAACAAAAGCACCAAGAGTCTCTAAAGCCCACGAGACTGACAGGAGATGAAAAAGGAACCGGATTTCATGACTTACTGTCCAATACTTAATGAAATACTTGAAGACTGTTGCAGCAATATACAAGCAATACAACAAAGAATAGGCTAAGAACAGTAGAAAGAATTTGTAGTTAGAAAATCCAATGCAGTTATTCACCCTGGAGGACAAAAGCAAAGTTGAAATCAGGATTGGTGCAGCACACAGTGGTTGTCACACAAAGAGCACGATCGGTTTCGAGGGGTTTGAAACCCCTGATCACACAACCCAATTTGCCAATGCGCAGCTCCCCTTAGCGGCCGAAAGGGAACAGAGCTGATGGCTCTGCTTTTCCCTCCAACCCTTCCTGTGGCCGAGCAGAAGCGCAGTTCAGATTTTTGGAATTGGTTCAAGGCTGGTACCACAGGTAAATGGGTCACAGAGGCAGCAGCTCCTTCCTCCTGTCTGGCTCTTGTCTGCCAAGGAAATCAGAGCCGGGAGTTCTGCGCTGCTTTATTCCTTTGCAAACCTCAGGAGCCACCTCACCCCTGCCTGTTTGCTTACATACAGCCCAGTTAACCCCACACTTGGTTAGAATTCTCCATGCACAGGACAACTCTAGAAAGGAACACGGGGATAAAAAAACCCCAGTGGGTGTTTGTGTCAGAACTCAGGTTTGGAAAACCCTCTCCAATTTTGATCACCAGGAAGGTTCAGGTAGGGAAATGTTTGTGTTGCTTCTGAATTCTTAAATCTTCCTTTTTTTTTTTTCTTTTTTTTTTTCCAAAAAAAGGAAGAGTTTAAGAAATTTAGTGGCAGCAATTCTGAAAGGTGTAAAGCTCAATTATTCCATGCAGCTTTCTGCAGACTGTCTCTGACCAGCATCAGTTCAGAAACAATCCATATGCAAATGTTGTTATTGGAAGCACCCCAAGTGCAGCTGAAACACTAAGAGAGCCCAAAGGAAAGGCTAAGCTGGAGTTTCTTTCAAATTTGAATAATAGTTAATGAGTGAATTAGCAGTTGAGGTTTAAATTTTATCAATATAATAGCATTCTTACACATGGGTTATGGAGTGAACATGAATGATTTGCTAAGATTTAATTTCAGGCAAGTTCAAAGTGCAATTATTTTATAAGTTTCCCAAACTAAAGAGATGGATGGCCTAAAATGTGAGAGGAATACAGACATGAGGGGTTTACAGAAATATATCTAAGTAGTCTTTCCTTTCAGAAAACCACAAACCAGTATCTAGGACATACCATGGACAGTGATGATCCATTTTTAGCACACACCTGCAAAAGGACAAAAAAGAAAAATGGAAGATTTTTAATTGGTACTTCATTACCAACTGCAGATCAACAGCAAAACTTTGATTTTTGTGAGGTTTCTACACAATAGATACTAAAAATGATGCTGTCTCTAAGTTTTTTAAGGTAGATATAATTTTAGGATGGTATATTTCTTAGTGTTTGAAGACCAACCAATGTCCTTGGTCCTTGTGTAGAGACATGAGAATGATTTCTGCCCTAGAGCAGAAGAGCTGCAGCTGTGACAGAGACCCTGGGGAACATTTTTGTGTAAAAAGACACATGAAGGAACAGCCCACTCCCAAAGCCTTGTGGTGACTGCACTTGGGTGAAGGGCAACCCATGACTTACATGGCACAAACAGAGCAATGGTGACAACGGTCAGGTTTGATCAGCTGGCATCTGTCACAGAACCGAATCCCTGGAATCAGAGACAAATTAACACAAAACAATGGGAAAGTGCTCTTTTTTTCATGTGCTAGTTGATACTGTGCTCATTTCCTAACTATTCTTCTTTTCTCTATCACTTCAGCAGGTGACCTGGTGTTTGCTGCAGGTCACAATCAGGTAAGCAACACTCATAATTCTGATGAAGACTTGCAGGTAGTGCAACAATCAGTGAAAGCATAAAATCCTAGAACCATGGAATGCTTTGGGTTGGCAGGGACTCTAAAGTTCATCTCATTCCACCCCCTGCCATGGGCAGGGACACCTCCCACTGTCCCAGGGTGCTCCAAGCCTGTCCAACCTGGCCTTGGACACTTGCAGGGATCCATGGGCAGCCACAGCTCCTCTTCGAACCTGAGCCAGGGCCTCACCACCCTCACAGGAAGGAATTCCTTCCTAACATCTATCCCAAACCTACTCTAACCCATACAGCCAGCTCAAAAGTGACAAACCAAAGTTGCACACTTGCCTCCACATTTACTCAGACTACCTAAACTTCATTTTGATAATTCCCTATTTATTCCAGTTCTCTACTTCAAAATTCTTTGGCTTGCCTGACAGAAACGAGCAGGTCAGAGCCTCCAATATGTACACAGATTTCTTTAAGCTGTGAAGGGAGTGCTGCAGGCATTTAATCACTGAACATAATCCAGAAAACTGGTCACAGAAATATGTCCTGCATCCCTAAGCCAGACTCCATTTTAAGTAAAAATTACGACAGTTTTGATTATTCTATTGCTATTTCTAAATACAGACAGCACATGTGGGCTTTTGGACTGTAAATCCAAAGGGATTTTGCTCCTCAAAGGTAGCACCTGGAACTGCACTAAATGAGAGGGTTCAAGGCTTTTCCTGTTTTCCATGTGAGCAAGGGAGAGCAGGAGTCAGTGGGTGCCTGGGAATGCTGCTGGTCAGCAGGATCCTCTGGGTGCCAGCCTGTGCTGCTGGTGTGTGTGGGTGGATCCGGGCTCGGTGCTGGGCTGACCTCCGTTCCCTGTCCTCGTGTACACCGGCAGCTTCCTGGCGATCTCGGCGAGGATCTGCCGCTGCACCTCGGGCCTCTCCTCGTTCTCGTAGCGCTCCTGGTCAGCGTAGGACATGTGGAACTGCAAGCAGAAGGCACCAAGGAGCACTCACCCACGGGCAGCACAGAGCGTGCCAAATACAGGTGAGCTTGGAAACGTTTTTGCCTCCCGCTCCTGAGATTAATGCAGTGGGAGAATGTGGTTGTTAGGAAGACAAAGGGAGGCAGTGAGTGCTGGAGAGCCAGAACACTGAGAGACACAGCAATAAGAAATGAAACAGTGAAATTAAGGCTCATAAAACAACTTATTAGAATTGCTCCTATTGCTGCCCTAGATGAATACCATTACTGACCTTTGTAACATATTCAGCACCTCTCTAGTGAGCAAGAACCTTTATATTTTAAAATTTTTAAAACCGGGATTAGTTGTTATTTATAAATTTACATTCTTGTAATCAGGATCAGAGCAAGGCTGAGTATATTTGGAGTGCTGCACAAATATTGACCTCATTTTGTTGCCTCAATCTGAGTGTTTTATTAGTATTTCATAGAGAGGTAAAACAAAATGTGAAAAAAAAAAATTTAATCTACTTATCCAAGCAACATGACAAGGTAAATATTTGGTTGAAAATAATTAAAACACATTTGCCTCTCACTGTCCTCTTCAGATCAACTAGACTGAAGGATGTTTGATTTCTCTTTAACATCTGTGCTTTTGTTCTGCAAGGAATGAAAGGTGTTGTCTCTCTTACCTTTTTGCCTGGTTGTATTGGGAGAGTGAAAACAGACTTCCAATATGTCCACACAAAGAGCACAAAGAGAATATGGAATACTACAAGATAGGCCACTAAAAACAAAACAAGAAAAGAAAAAAAACAGAAAAGAGTAATGACTTCTTAAGCAAAGGTTTCATCCACAATGGGCATAATTCAAATTTTTCACAACAATGTCAAAAAAAAAGAAGAAGAAGGGAAAAGACAGATGTCCATCCAGTGCCACACATTATTGCAGTCCAGCTAAAATTCATGGCTGAGGGTCAGCAGCTCCAGAGCTCAGGAGTGACCAGCCTCAGATCCTCCCTGCTCCCATTCTGTGGGAGAGGAAGATGCAGCTGTCAGAAAATTGTCCCACAGGGCAGGTGACAACCTTTATCCCTGGGAATGACAGGACTCCTGTCTCTTCCCCACATCCCAGGCACAAGCCCAGCAGATCTGGCAGGTGCTGAGCACTGTAAAGGTGAATTTTGCACCTCCCAGTATTGGGGTTTAGTTGTTACTAAAAGCAGTGTGAAGCAGAGTGGGCACTGTCCAACCCTGCACCATGTTCTTCTTGTGAGAGCAGAGAGAAATAATATGAGCTTTACATCACCAGAAAAAGCCAAATTTCTTATTAAACATCTTTTACATTTGCCACAGTTGATACAATAAATCAGGAAAACTTCCCTGAATTTGAGCAAAATAGGGCTTGTGATTACTGAGGAAGAATTGCAAACCAGCCCATGTCAGACCAGTCAGTTCAATGTGCAAACCTGATTCCAGAGCCTTGGGCATTAGCAGGCATTCCACGGACAGGGAGCCAAAGGAGCTGTCCTTCAGCTGCACAGACTATTTGCCATTTCTTTAACACTCAACTCACTAAGATATTATCAAAGTTACAAGATGGTTTTATTTAAACACATCATTTCATTGCAGTAACAATCTTGTTTCCCCATTTCATTTAAGCTTCAAATTCTAGAAAATAAGATTAAAATAACTAGCTGGAAAGAGAAATCTAAAATTCAAACACTTCTTAACTATGTCAAAACACTTCTCTTCCTGTGTGAAAATTGGTAAAAAAGGCCAAATGCATCAGTGAGACTTTCTAATGAGACGGCAAATGATGGGACACATCTCACAAGGATGTGATGGACTGTGGGAAGGAGCTGTGAATCACAGCGAAGTCATTCTCATGCTCCAAGCTGGTTTGAGATGTTACCCTCACACTACAGGTGGAGCTGAGCCATTTTTAATTAATATGAAGGGAGATAAATCTTGCAACAGGTTTAATTTTGTTGATCAGCCTAGCAGCACATTAGAGGAAGCTGACCTGGAGATGCACTAACAGATTAGGCAACAATTAACTTTCTTCTGCAGAGTAGTCATTAACATCCTGCTTTCTGCAGTTTCTCTGTAGCAATTTCAAACGCTAGAACTGTTCTATAGGGGAAAGAGAATTTACTGGATGCAGCAATCTGGAGAATCTTTAAATGTCAGCTGGCACTGCTCTTCATGGAACAGCTTACACTACACCTACTTCTGTCCTTCATAACCCCTGAAGAAGAAAGTCACCAGGAGAACACCTGGACTAGCCAAAAGCATCCAAAACACCTCCAGGAAAGAAGGAGAAAAATATTAAAATATCCTCTGACTCCTTATTCTTAGAACATGGCTATTATCTCCACCAACACACTGGTCTGAAGAGTGTCATTGAGCAATCCTACTGTGCTGTGACTCAGGATCTGTTAGTGGGCACCAGAACTGAGAGAGAAAACTTAGCAAAAATAGCTTTCACTGAAAGATCAAACGGAACAGTGGAAAAAGCCAGGTGGGCTGCAGATAGGAACTAGTATTTTCTGTTTGGCTTGTAAAATCAGCTCTGGAAATGTGAAAGGGAAAGGGAGAAGAGGGGTGTGGGTGTGCACAGACACACACAGCTCTTCCTGAAAGAGTCAGAGGGATCAGAGCCTTTCCATGTCCTGCCCAGACTGTGATTAGACAGAGCATTTATTTCCCGGTGCACCCAGGAGGTGCAGCATGCTGAGTACCTCAGGAGGGTGCAATTACAGGGAGGAGACACTGAAAGAGGATGTACCTTTAAAAAAATGACAGCAAATATTTCTGATATCTCAGCCAGAACATTTGTGAGTCCTTTTACACGAGGGTTGCACGGCAAATAATAAATTATCACATACCTTTCTCCACAGGGTTGCTCACAGTCACTGGAAAAGAAAAAAAACACGTGTCCACAGAGGAAATATGAATCCCAGAGAAGTTTGTGACAATTAACATTTCTATGTGAAATACAGCCATTTTAGGAAAAATGTTCAAATTCAAGAGGCAAAGAGAGAGCCCACAGCTCAGCATCAAACCAAAAGCATCTGTAACAACTCTTCTTCACTCACGCACACACCCACAGCAAGATGTTCACTCACTCTTACTTGTGCTGTTTTCCCTGCCTATAAAATTATAAAAATGTATATTTTGCACTAGTAATATGATAAAAGCAATCCTCCTGTGACAGTGAGAAGATCACCAGGGCTCCTCTAGCACCTGTATCTCTGCATTTACCACATACTTGCAGCTGCTTTCTACTGGTCTCCAGGTGGTCTTGACCCTCCACTGTAAGCACTGTCCCAAAGCATTTCTGCATCAGCAGGATTAAAAAGTTATAAATTTCTCAGCTTTGGCCAAGTCAGCAACTGCAGTGACTTCATTGTTTTTACACTACCTACCAGCAGAAATTTTACAACCCCTTCTTACTGCACCACAATGAGGGAAAAGCCCCTACTAACAGAAGCCCTCTGAGCAAGCAGCAAAAGGTGCATTGTTCAATGTAGAGACTATTTGAAAATCTATCCATTACCTTAAAAGCCAGCATCCAAGTTTAACAGAAGAGACAAGGACAGCTTTCTTGAACTGCAAACAGGGAGTTCTGTGATGTTTTGATAGAGCATTGCTTGGAAGACAAAGCTTTGTGTCACACAGCAATGTAGATGAAAAAAGAAACTGAATCTGTGCTGTGGCTCTGCTTGCTCAATTTCAGGTAAACAAGACTGTTAGGAAAACTTTAGTTTTTCCTTTGCTTTGCTGCCAATCAAGCTATGATGAGTTTTCACAAGCACTGCCTGGCTCCCTCCTGACCACACCTGCAGCAGGACCTGGTTAAGGATTTACCTGAGACAAGAGCACAAACACAACAATATAAAAGGTTCTGTGGCAGGATCATTGTTGGCACCGTGGTAGCAACCACCAGCCAAACAAGAACTGAGGTTCCTCCTGTGACTCACTGGGCACCCCAGCACTGAGAGCTCAAAGCCAGCAGCAGGAGAGGCCTCCCAGACATCACCCCCACAGCACTTCCAGTGCTCGGCACAGCTGAAAATGCAAACCAAGATTCCAGACAAAGCATTCACTATTTACAGGCTCCCAGCAGCTGAGAAGAGGCAGCCAGCTCAGCAAGCCTTGCTGGGTTGGAAATGAGGAGAGAGACAACATTCTCCTTGGCAAGTAACAGCACAGGCCAACAGTTCATGCTCAAATCCTGAAATAATTCAATCATTTCAGCTTCTGTGTAGATAAACTCCTCCACACACAAATAAAAGAAATGAGAGAGAAATGGGGCAAAAAACCCAGGTGGGTGTGGGCAAATGAATGAATTTAAGCTGTGATTCCACACAGCAAGCTGAGCTCCTGCCAGCTGAACCAGCACTTGCAGAGCAGCACAGCCCCAGTCCAAACCTCACTCAAATCACCTGAGCCTCCTCCAGCAGCTGCACTGAGACCTGGGATCAGCCCGTGCTCAGTATTACTGAATTTGCACAGCACACCTCAAAAGACTGTCAGAGTTTCAGGAAAATACTCCACATTTTTTCTCACATGTTCTAATGACAGTTCCATGCACCTCAGAGATATCATCCTATGTGAATTCTTGAAAGAAACAGCCCACAGTCTCAGAGATGGGATAAATGTGATGAAGTGTTTGGGGGCTTTGCCAAGTTGCTGATTAAAACAGACCAAAGAAGCTGCATTTCATTCTAGCTCCCATGGAGAAAAAAACAGCAGGTCTCACTGCACTGCCAGCCCTAACAAACACCTGATTTACTGTGCAGCACCAGAAGGCAGCTCCTGCCCCAGGAACAGCTCAGACTGTCCTTTCTGGGACCGCTGGTTTTGTTTGTCTGCCTCACTCTGTCGTGTGGAGTCACGGCTCCTCCTCACAGTTTCACAAATCCAAGCTTCCAGCTCTTCTCTCCACCAGAGCTGCCAACTCTTTTTTTCCAAAAGCACACTAAACCAGAAATAACAAACATGAGAAAGTTTGCAATTTACTATATAGTTAAATTGCTACATTAAATATACAATTACTAGTCAGCATAAAACTTCCTCTTCTAAAATGCAGTGTTTTCTGTGCTACTGTAACAACTCCACGCCTGAGTGTGATCCCATGTAACCTATTTCTTTCCTTTTCAGAATACAAACACAAAACGATTGTGAGGCAGGGCACAGACTGATGTTTGTTACTGTTTAGCTCATAAATCACAGCTGGACGTTATCAAATCACAACAACGCTGCCTTTCAGGGTGGGATCACTGTCCCGCCCTCTCAAACGCCACCTCCCCTGGCAGGGACACAGAGCACGGGCTCACGAGTGACAAACAGCACCGGAGCCCGCAGCAGCGCGGCCGGGCACCAGCCCTGCGGGAAACAGGGCAGCACGCCCTAAACCCCCATTAATCCCGAGCAGGACCCGACCCGTACTGAAGTGTCTGTCCCTGCGCACGGATCGCTGCCGGGCGCGGGGCCCCGGGACACCGCGGGCACGGGAGGAGGAGGAGAGCGAGGAGGAAGTGGAGAAGGCGAGGAAGAGGAGGAGGAGGGAAACAGGAAGAGGAGAAGGAGGAGGAAGATGAGAGGGAGAAGGGGAATGGCCGAAGCCCCCGGCCCGCCGCGCCCCCCGCCCGCAGCTCCTCGGGGGCCGAGGCGCGGCCCGGGGCGGGCGGGCCCCGCTGGGCGCGGGCGGCGCTCACCGAGGCAGAGCTCGCAGACGTATCCGTAGTAGGACCAGAGCAGGAGCAGCGCGATGAGCAGCACGGGCAGCCAGGCGAAGGCGCGGCGGCAGCAGCGCAGCCCCCGCCACAGCGCCATCCC